CGTGCTATGTGCACTTGGACCAGGGAAGCTGCGCACATATGAGGAGCAGGAGATGGCGGATGAGCAGGAAGATCAGCAGGAGGAGCCGGAGAAGGACGAGGAAGGAGGGGGACGAGGACGAGCAGCATCAGCAGCAGCAGCAGCAGCAGCAGCAGCAACAGGAGCAGTTCCTGGGGTGGAAGGAGCGGGTTTTGCATCCAGGATCTATACTGAGTAATTTTTCAGGGAGGATAGAAGAGGAGGAGGATCAGGAGGAGCCTCCTCCTCCTCCTCCTCCTCCTCCTCCTCCTCCTCCTCCTCGACTGAAACAGCCGCGCAACAATCGAGCGGTAGCCGTTGAGTCTCACCGCTCGTGCCAGAGATCGCTCTGGTCGTACATAAGTGGCCGCCGAAGCTGCAACATGCAGGACACGGACAGCCTAAAGGGGTGCGCGTGTTGAGCAAACATGTTCGCCCGTCCCTTCTCTATCATTCTTTCATTTCCTCCCATTCCGTGCTTATCCCCTCCCTTCCATTATGCTTCCTCCTCGTCATCATCCTCGTCCGTATATCTTCTCCCCATCCTCCTTCATTCCCTCCGCCTCCTCCTTCTCGTGATCTCCTTCAATTCAGATTGCCTGTGGTCCTCGCGGGGGCATCGGGCGCTGCCCGCTCCGTCCCGCCGCTAACGATACCTTCTGGGCGCCAAATGGACGCATGTTCAAATGGAAGGCTCATTTTCTTTCGGGCGAGGCAACTGTTCACCGACACCGATCCCAGCCAGGCCAGTTCTGGGTCAGGATCTGTGTGTACGCGTCTGCGTGTGCGTATGCGTGTGGATGTGTGTGTGTGTGTTTGTGTTTGTGTGTGGTGTTTGGGGGGGGTAGGTGCCCCTTGCCAGGAAGGCGTTGACACCGACCCCTGCCCAGGATTGGCCAACTAGCCAAGATCCGTGTCCTCCTTCTTTAGGATCGGCTTCTTCCTCCGCCTCCCCCCTCCCCTCCCCTCTCCTCTTCTCCCCCATCCCTCCCTCGTTCTCCTCGTGCCCCCACCTCTGGCTTTGCCTCACCTTCGTGCCCCCCTCCCCCCTCAAGAGGCCCCGCGGCGCCCTTTGCCTCCTGGCGAGAAGCGCGCGCCGCGAAGCCGCCCCAGAGGGGGCCGAGGGGGGAGGGGCCGGGCTCGGCCTCAGAGAGCGCCCCGCGCCCGGGCCGTCGACTGGGGGAGCAACATCGGCCCCCGCCCCCGATACAGCGAGGTTCGGCCACGCGCAGAAAGGGGCCGAACGAAAGGGGGGGGATGGGGAAAGGGGCGGGTGCGAAATCTGCGGCATGCAGCCGGTTTCGGCCCCGCCGCCGGGCCCATTCCTCGATACATGGGCGCCTCCCGGCGCCGGGAGGCGCTGGGAAAATCAGCTACGTGAGCTGATTCTCTACCCTACCCTTTGCTATCCCCCCCCTTTCGTTCCCCCGAGCAGAAGGGGGTGGGGGGAGGGGGGAAGGCTTCTTAGAAGCACCGTGGGCCGTATCCCTAGGTGTGAGGCTGGCGCGTTCTGATGAGCAGCCTCCTTCTAAGAAGCCTTCCCCCCTCCCCTGAATCTACCCCCTTGTGCGCGCCGCCAAGATGTACTTACTGCCGAAAACGGATTCGATGGTACTGGTGCTGTCGGTGGGGAGGGCCTGAGCTGAACAGGAGGCGGTTTCTGCTTGGAACAGTTTGGAGTTGAATGGGCGACCTGGGGACGATTGTGGTGACGAGGATGCGGCAGAGGAGGGAAAGGTATCCATACCTCTACCCTTCCCTCGTTTTCCCCTTTTTGGGGCCTCCTGGGAGGCTCTTCTCGCCACCGCTGGACTCGCCTCGAAGTCTTGGTCAGAGCGCACCCCGGGAGAGGCCGGGGAGCAGCGGCATCGGTACCTTCTGGCTTCCCCAGGTGCGGCAGAGGAGGAGGGGAGGGGGGGGGACGAGGAGACGAGCAGGCAGGAGCGGGCAGGACGAGGAAGACGAGGAGGGGGCGAGGCGGGAAGGGAGGGGCGACGACGACGACGACGACGACGGCGACGACGACGACGACGACGACGACGACGGCGACGACGACGACGGCGACGACGACGACGACGACGACGACGACGACGACGACGACGACGACGAGGACGGCGACGACGGCGACGACGACGCCGGCGGCGGCGGCGGCGGCGGCGGCGGCGGCCCCCACCGAGGCGAGGCCCGCCCTGCGAGGCCTCGAAGCCTCCCCGCCGGCCGTCGGGGCCGCGAGGGCGCTTCGGCTCCCGTCCGCGGGCCGCTTCGGCTCGGGACGCGGCCCTCTGGCCCGCCGCGAGGCGGCGCGCCGCTTCGGCGGCCCCCGACCGGCCCCCCGCCGAGGCGAGGCGCGCCGCTTCGGAGGCCTCAGTCAGCGCCCTCCCCCCCTCCTCCTCCTCCTCCTCCTCCTCCTCCTCCTCCTCCTCCTCCTCCTCCTCCTCCTACCTCACTCTCGTCCTCTCCTCCCCCTCCTCCCCTCCTCCTCCTCCTCCTCCTCCTCCTCCTCCTCCTCCTCCTCCCCCTCCCCCTCCCCCTCCGCCCCGCCGTCGGGGCTGCCAGAGAGGGCCTCGCCCCCGTTCGTGGGCCGCTTCGGCTCAGGAGCCCGCTGCGAGGGAGCGCGCCGCGGCGACCCTCGAGCCGCCCCCGACCGAGGCCGGTGCTCAGATGCGGTGGCAAGTCATGGGAGCCGGGTGCACCGTCTTACAGTGGAGACCCATGGCAAGAAGCACCTTGCGTGCCTCCAGGTTTCCTGGGTTTCGCTTGGGTTTCGCTGGTTCTGCGATGGAGAGCGTGACGCTCCCACACCAAAGACCCATGGGCGTCCTGGGGTCTCAGGGTTGGGCTTCTCGTGGAAGGTTGCTTGCGGACGGGCCTCCACTGCAATTCTGTCTTTAGCGTCGAGTAGCGTCTGGGAGTCGATGAGATAGCGCCGGTTTTGCGCGGCCAGCGCCGATTTAGCGTCGATTGGCGTCGATCTGGCCTCGACCAGCGTCGATTCGCAAGAGCCGACAAGCTGGTATGGGAGGCTCCCATGAGTTGCCACCGAACTCAGAACCCAGACCCCCGACGTCATGTTTTTTGCCACAGCGTCGGCCCCTAGAGGCCTCGAACCATTCCCCCAGGCCTGTTTTTCATCCTGCGTCGTCTCCTGACGGTCGCAACAGCAACAACGACAACAACAGCAACACTAACAACAACAACAACAACAACAACAACAACAACAACAACAACAACAACAACAACAACAACAACAACAACAACATCAACAACAACAACAACAACAGCAGCAGCAGCAACAACAACAACAACAGCAGCAGCAGCAGCAGCATCAGCAGCAACAACAACAACCAACAACCAGCAACCAACAACCAACAACCAACAACCAACAACCACCAACCAACAACCAACTATCAACTACCAACAACCACCACCACCAACAACAACAAAAACAACAGCAACAACATAAACAACAGCAGCAGCAACAACAACAACAGCAAACGACCGTCGCGATGTGTTTCACGGCGCAAGGGGGTCTGGGGAGCCCACAGAGCCCTCATGGCCGCCAAGGGCCGCGCGCGCCCCCGCGCGGGCCCCTGGTGCTCCGCATCGGTTGACCGATCCCTGTCGCGGTGCCCAGCCCGGTCCCCACCGCCCCACCACCCAGGTCGGGGATCTGCCCCTCGAAGACCGGAGGGGCCGGCCCACACCCCCATCGCAAATCGGCCAGTGGGGCTCGGGCTGCGCCAGGGGGTGCCTCGTCTTCGTCGTCGTCCTCGTCGTCGTCGTGGTCGTCGTCGTCGCCGCCGTCGTCGTCGTCGTCGTCGTCGTCGTCGTCGTCGTCGTCGTCGTCGTCGTCGCCGTCGCCGTCGCCGTCGCCGTCGCCGTCGCCGTCGCCGTCGTCGTCGTCGTCGTCGTCGCCTCCCCTCCCCTCCCCGCCTTGCTCCGTTCTCGTTTTCCTCCTCCTCCTCCTCCTCGTCCTCCCCCTCCTCCTCCTCCTCCTCCTCCTCCTCCTCCTCCTCCTCCTCCTCCTCCTCCTCCTCCTCCTCCTCCTCCTCCTCCTCCTCCTCCTCCTCCTCCCCCTCCTCTTCCTCCTCCCCTTTCCTCCACCCATCCGTCCTCCCCTCCATCCTCCTCCTCCGCCACCACCCCTCCTACTCCTCCTCCTCCTCCTCCTCCCCCTACCTCCTCTGCCGCACCTGGGGAAGCCTGCCGATACCGATGCCGCTGCCCGTAGCGCCGCGTGCGTCCGTGTCGCCGTCGCCGCCGCCGACGTCGGCGCCGCCGCCGCCACCGCCGCCGCCGCCGTCGCCGATCCCCCGAGCGGACACGCTGACGCAGGTGCCCGCGCCGGCGCGCTCGCCGCGCCGCGGGGCCGCCGGGGTGGTGCCCCCCGCGCGCGCCGCCCGCGGAGGGGCCGCCGGGCGCGCGCCGCCGGCGCGGGCCGGGCTGCTCTGGGCCGAGGCCGCGGCGCCCGCGGCAATTTCGGCTCGCGCCGCGTCGACGGGGGGCGACCTCGGCCCCCCCCCCCCCAGTTCGACGACAACCCTTCCAAAGACAGGATCGCGTGGTGAAGAGTTCAGGACGGGGGCGTTTCGCTCTTGCAGGCCTCCAGAGGCCCGCGCCGGACACGTGTACCCAGACAGGATCGCGTCGTGAAGAATTCAGGACGGGGGCGTTTCGCTACTGCAGGCCTCCAGAGGCCCGCGCCGGGCCCTGGGAGCAGCAAGACACGTCTCAGAGGGTCTGGACTTCTGGGGCCGGCGGCTCAAGCAGCGGCGAAGCGTCCTGGCCCGCCTATAGCCCGACCAAGCAGTGTCCCGAGAACCTTTTTTGTGGCTCCCACGAGCTGTTCTCAGGACAGCTCTGGCGGGGGATCTTTTGTTTTAACACGTCGGGTTCATGTTCTAGGATACATGGTTTTCGTTCTGAGAACAGTTTGGGGTTCTGAGAACATGACGTGGTAGGACTATAGAAATGCTGGGACGGTCGGTCCCTGCTCAACATGAGGCTCGCGCCGCGTCGACCGGGGGCGACCACGGGGGCCCCCCCCCCCAGTTCGACGACACGTGTACCCAGACAGGATCGCGTCGTGAAGAGTTCAGGACGGGGGCGTTTCGCTATTGGCTATTGCAGGCCTCCAGAGGCCCGCGCCGGGCCCTGGGAGCAGCAAAGCACGCCTCAAAGGGTCTGGACTTCTGGGGCCGGCGGCGCCAGCAGCGGCGAAGCGTCCTGGCCCGCCTACAGCCCGACCAAGCAGTGTCCTGAGAACTTTTTTGTGGTTCCCACGAGCTGTTCTCAGGACAGTTCTGGCGGGGGCTCTTTTGTTTGAACGCGTCGGGATTCTGTTCTAGGAACATGGCTTTCGTTCTGAGAGCAGTTTGGGGTTCTGAGAACATGACGTGGTAGGACTACAGACATGCTGGGACGGTCGGTCCCTGCTCAACATGAGGCTCGCGCCGCGTCGACAGGGGGCGACCACGGGGGCCCCCCCCCCCAGTTCGACGACTCGTGTACCCAGACAGGATGGCGTCGTGAAGAGTTCAGGACGGGGGCGTTTCGCTATATAGTAGGCCTCCGGAGGCCCGCGCCGGGCCCTGGGAGCAGCAAAGCACGTCTCAAAGGGTCTGGACTTCTGGGGCCGGCGGCTCCAGCAGCGGCGAAGCGTCCTGGCCCGCCCATAGCCCGACCAAGCAGTGTCCTGAGAACCTTTTTTGTGGTTCCCACGAGCTGTTCTCAGGACAGCTCTGGCGGGGGCTCTTTTGTTTGAACGCGTCGGGATCATGTTCTAGGATACATGGCTTTCGTTCTGAGAACAGTTTGGGGTTCTGAGAACATGACGTGGCAGGACTACAGACATGCTGGGACGGTCGGTCCCTGCTCAACATGAGGCTCGCGCCGCGTCGACGGGGGGCGACCACGGGGGCCCCCCCCCCCAGTTCGACGACACGTGTACCCAGACAGGATCGCGTCGTGAAGAGTTCAGGACGGGCGTCGTGAAGAATTCACGACGGGGGCTTTTCGCTATTTCAGGCCTCGAGAGGCCCTCGCCGGGCCCTGGGAGCATCAAAAAACGTCTCAGGGTGAGAAACCGGCCCCAGGGAAAGGGTCTGGACTTCCGGGGACGCCGTCCTGAAAAAATCCGGACGTCGCATGTCCGGGTACCCCTGAGGTCCTGGCGTCTCTGTTTTTGTTCGGGCTGGGCGTTTTCGCCTTTTTGTGGGCCCCGGGGCCCTCACAGACCGATGCGTCTCGAGAGATGACGCAGAAAGATCGGGTCTAGAGCTCCGGGCGTGATGGTTTGCGATGCTGCATTTGTTGTTGGTACGGCGGATTTCAAGGAAGAGTGACCCTTCGCCGGAGTGACCCTTGGCGCGAGCCCAAACGGGCCCCCCGATCGAGGAATGCGATGCGATATAGCAGCGGCTTGCGCGCCTGGTGTGTCCCCAAGGCCCCCCCCCACACCCCCTGGCCGCGCAGTGAAGGTCACTCTTGCTTGTAGCCGACCAGTGGAGACAGCTTTAGTTGGCCTGGGGGGGACCTGCGTGGTGCTGGGATCTCGACAAGTTGGCTCGGCCTCAGCATTCAGTATCGTTTCACCGATCCCTATCCCCATCCCCATCCACATCTCGAGCCCCACCGTCTCACCACCTCAGTTGGGGATATGCCCCTCGAAATCCGAAGAGAGCAGCCTATATCCCAACCAGGAGGGCAAATCGGCCAGTGGGGCCCAGCCCACGCTGGTGGGGATGGGGATCGGTTCCACGAACGATGCCCAAGCACGCCTCTCTTCGGCAAGAGAGAGTGCAGGAAGTTTTGAGCCGTGCACGGCACCGAGCCCCCCATCAGGACGCACAGCACGTGAGTTTCCGCGGGCATAGGGGAACAACAAGTGGCATAAACATAGAAGTTCGGAGGTCCGCGCGGACTTCTCGGATCGGCGCTGGACACCCCTCCCTGGCGCGCGGAGCGCGCCAGGGGCGGCGCCGAGGCGCCGCCGGGGGGCCCCAGCGCCGATCCGAGAAGTCCGCGAGGACCTCCGAGCTTTTATGTTTATGCAATTTTTTGTTCCCCTAAACGTGGGCATGCCCTCGGCGCGGGTGGGGGGGGGCTTCGGGAGGGCCTCCTCGCCGCCACGGCTGGACGCAGCTCGGCGAGCTGGTGCGCCTGGACCGCACGAGGGGTCCGCGGGCCGAGACCTCCTCCTCTTCCTCCTCCCCCTCCTCCTCCTCCTCCTCCTCCTCCTCCTCCTCCTCCTCCTCCTCCGCCTCCCTCCTCATTCCTTCCTCCTCCTCCTCCTCCTCCTCCTCCTCCTCCTCCTCCTCCTTCCGCCTTGGAGAGCACCATGGACCCGTCTCTGGCGTTCAACGTTGAACGCCGCCGGCGACCCTCAGTGGCAGCGACAGGGGGGAGAGGCACAGGGTCGGATGCATATCGACCCCCAATCGCTCAGTGATCGCCGATAGGGGTGCGATAGCCCCACCCAACCCAGGAAGGTGCGGATTCGCTGTCGAGGGCCTATCGCCGACCTGTCGGCGATGCCTCGCTGATTCCAGGTCGATGTTTCCCCCCCTATGCCGGTGCCCCCCCCCCTACCGTCCCTGAGATCCCACGTTGAAACAATATTGCAAAATCGCAAACAATCGCGACCAGACCCCTGGACCCCATCTTTCTGCGTAATTGTTCGAGCCGGATCGACTTGGTAGCGTCGAAAACCCGGAGAGCAAGGAGGCACTCCGGGAACTGGAAAGCTTTCCTGAAGAGCTCTGGGGCGCTCTCCTGAAGCGCTTCTGCAGCGCTGCCAGGCCCGCGTCCACAGGTGCCTGCACGCGTGCAGGCACGCGTGGACGCGTGCCGGAAGCGCTCCCGGACCCGCTGCGACCCCAAACAAGTCGCTGCGGGGATTCTGGAGCGGCGAAGATGGGCTGCTGGCAGGCACCACCACCGTCCGGCTTCTAATCTAAAACCCTATAGCTCTCAGAGAGCTCTCCGGGAATCTGTGAGGGCCCCGGGGCCCGACACTGAGCGAAGACGCCCGGACTGAGCAAACGAAGCGCCAGGCTCTCGGGGGCTGCCCCTCGGGCCCAGAAGCCGTCGGTGTGCAGCGCCCTGGCGTCGTCGCGGACACGGCCCGCAGTGGCCAAGGTGGAGCGACCACCGCGGTGGCAGAAGCCAGCGCCGACGTCGGCGCGGCGCGAGCCGGCCGCACCCAGACCGCCTCAGCACCAGCGGCCACGCACACCCCGGCTCTCTTGCACGAGGGGAGGGCGAGGGCCAGGCGAGGCGGGGCCAGGCCGGGCAGGGATCCTCCTCCTCCTCCTCCTCCTCCTCCTCCTTCTCTCTCCTCCTCCTCCTCCTCCTCCTCCTTCCTCCTCCTCCTCCTCCTCCTCTCTCATCTTCCCTCCCTCCTCCTCCTCCTCCTCCTCCTCCTCCTCCTCTTCCTCCTCCTTCTCCTCCTCCTTCTCCTCCTCCTCCCTCCTCCTCCTCCTCCTCCTCCTCTCCTCCTCCTGCTCCTCCTCTTCCGCCTCCTCCTCCTCCTCCTGCTCCTCCTCGTCCCTCCTCCTCCTTTTGAGGGCCAGGCGAGGCGGGGTGAGGAGGGCCAGGCGAGGCAGGGTGAGATGGCTCTTCCAGGAGGGCCAGGCGAGGCGGGGTGAGGAGGGCGGGGGGGGGTTCTTCGAGCCATCCTCGTGACCTCCTGGGGCCACCAGGACTATCCTGAGGAGGCAGCCCAGACATGCGGCGTCCTGATGTTTCCAGTGCGCGGTGCTCGGAAGTCCTGACCCTTTCTCCTTGCTTAGATGGGTGCGGCCTTATAAGTAGTTATAGGTTAGGTAAGTGGTTCTATTTTAGGAGAGGTTTGGATGAGTTAGGATTGGTTAGGAGGCCTATAAGTTTTATAGGAATGCCGATAGTGATAGTGCCCCATTGCCCCCCCCTATGTTTCACTATCGGATCTATAGGAGCTTACAGTGTCCTATCATCAGCAACACTTGGAATCCCTAAACTTATGTATGTTTTCACTATTTTTAGTATTATTTTCACTATTTTCACATTTTTTACTATTTTTCTTCGTTTTCACTATTTATCACTATTTGTCATTATTTTCACATGTTTCATCATGTTTTCACTATGGTTTACTTGTTCCTTACTTTTCAAAATTCAGACATTGAAACAAGTCTGACCGACGCCAGAACGTTGTGCTCCAAGGGAGAAGAAGGAGAAGGAGGAGGGAGGAGGAGGTGTTCACCGCCTCCTCCTCCTCCTCCTCCTCCTCCTCCTCTTCCTCGTCCCCCTCCTCCTCCTCCTCCTCCTCCTCCTCCTCCTCCTCTGCCCTCTCCTCCCCTTCCCCCTCGGCGCCCCTCTTGGGGCCTCGGCCCCCCCTTGGTGCTGGCACTCCTGGGCCTCGGCACCCCCAAATCCGAAGCTCCGAAGCTCCTCCCATTCCTCTTCCTCCTCCTCCTCCTCTTCCTCCCCCTTCTCCTCCTCCTACCCCTCCTCCTCTATCCTCTTTCCCCTCCTCCTCCCCCTCCTCCTCCTCCCCCTCCTCCTTCTCCTCCTCCTACCTCTCCTCCTCTATCATCTTTCCCCTCCTCCTCCTCCCCCTCCTCCTTCTCCCCCTCCTCCTCCCCCTCGTCCTCCCTCTCCCCCTCTTCCTCTTCCTCCCCCCCCCCTCCTCCTCTATCCTCTTGCCGCTCCTCCTCCTCCCCCCACCTCCTCCTCCTCCTCCCCCTCCGCCCCCCCCTCCTCCTCCCCCATCCCCCTCCTCCCCTTCCCATTGGCAGCAGGCTGGATGTTAGCTGGATGTTGCCTGGGTGTTGTTTTCATGTTGTTTTGTGTTGTTGTTTGTTGCTTTATGTTGTTGTTTATGTTGGTGTTTGTTGTTTTTGTGTTGTCTTGTAGGGTGGGCGCCACACAACACCAGACAACACAAACACAACATAAAAACACAACAACCAACAACACAACACAACATGTTGGTTTGTGTTGTGTTGTGTTGTTTTATGGTGTGTGTTGTTGTTGTTTGTTGTTGTTTGTGTTGTTTGTTTGTTGTCTGGTGTTGTCTTCTCTTTTTTCGTTGTTTGTTTTCCCGTTTTTCAGTTTTTCCGTTTTTTTGTTTTAAACAATGTTTTGTGTTCCCTTCTTCTGACTACTGTTACCCCCCCCCCGCCCTCCGCCACCTCCCTCATCCGTTTCCTCCTCCCTCCTCAGCGGGCCAACCGCTTTGCGTTCGCTTCCCTCCTGCCTCCCCATTCTGCTCCTCAGCGGCCCAACCGCTTTGCATGGGAGGAGGAAGAGGAGGAGGAGGACGAGGAGGACGAGGAGGAGGAGGAGGAGGAGGAGGAGGAGGAGGAGGAGGGGGAGGACAGGATAACGATTTCGTCGCAGGCGCTTTTGGCTTCAAGTTTTTTGAATTCGCCCAACCGAATTCGAGAATTCGTTAAATGGCTGCCTGGGATGCTCGCTGTGCCACGTGCGGCGCCCTCGGCCCCGCAGCCAACATGGACGTGATTAAAAACCAAAGTTCTGAAGCGGCCGAACCGCTGCACTGTACAACTTGCAATGTAAAAGCGGTCTGCCGCTGCGGAAGGTCAGGAGAGAAAGGAAGAGAAGCAAGCTGGTTTGTGATTTTTCTTAGAATTGGCTATTTTTCAGTACCACTATTTGTTTCACTATTTTTTGTTACTATTTTTCACTATCTTTAATTATTTTCACTATTTAACACTATTGTTTTCACTTTTTTCATTGTTTAAACATTATTTTTTTATGTTTTTAGTGCATGTTGATAGGATCCTATAGTGCACAATCGCTATATATAGTGTTTTTTATAGAATCCGCACCCATCTAAGTGGGACGGGTTTTTCGCCCTGAGGCGCTCGTTGGACGGCCCCAGGGCCCAGCGAGGGCCTCCAGAGGCCGAGAACGGCGAAAAACCGTCGCCCTGAACGTTTTACGACGCGATCATGTCTGGGACGGGCATGGGGGCGCGACGACGAGCGAACGAGCGTACGAGCGAGCGAAGTCGGCACGGCGCAGGACACCGATACTGCTACTCCCCGGACCTCTCCCGGGGCGCGTTCTGACCAGGACTTCAAGGCGAACCCAGCGGTGGCGACGAGAGCGAGCGAAGTCGACGCGGCACGAGGCTGCCGAACCACGGGCCACTCCTGCCCAGAGTCCCCTCTTGCGTGCGTGCGGCGAGGGCTCCCTGGCGGCGCGGCGCGCCTCGGGGTGCGCCGCCGCTACGAGGATCCTGGGCGGCGGGCACCTCCTCGTCCTCCTCGTCCTCCTCCTCGTCCTCCTCCTCGTCGTCGTCCTCCTCATCCTCCTGCTCCTCCTCCTCCTCCTCCTCCTCCTCCTGCCTCCTCCTACCTCCTCCTCCTCCTCCTCCTCCTCCTCCTGCTCCTCCTCCTGCCCTGCCTCGCCTGCTGCTCCCTCCTCCTCCACCTCCTCCCCTCCTCCTCCTCCTCCTCCTCCTCCTCCTCCTCCTCCTCTTCCTCCTCCTCCTCCTCCTCCTCTCCTCCTCTTCCTGCCTCCTCCTCCTACTCCTACTCCTCCTCCTCCTCCCTGTTTGATGTTTGGCGAGCTTTGAGCGGCGAAGAACTAGCGTTCTTCCTCCTCCTCCTCCTCCTCCTCCTCCTCCTCCTCCTCCTCCTCCTCCTCCTCCTCCTCCGCGGCCAGTCCCAATCCGCTTCCCGTGCCTGTCCTCACCTGGGCACACCTGCCCGCGGGAGAGCCCGCCCGCTCAGGAGGCGGCGTGCAGCACCAGCGAACAGCAGCTTCTGTCGGCCTCAGACTCGGCCCCTCCCGCCTCCTCCCCCGTCCCCACCTCCTCCTCCTCCTCCTCCTCTTCCTCCTCCTCCTCCTCCTTCTCGTCTTTCCTCCTCCTCCTCCTCCTCCTTCTCGTCTTCCTCCTCCTCCTCCTCCTCCTCCTCCTCCTCCTCCTCCTCCTCCTCCGCCCCTCCTCCTTCTCCTACCCCCCCCTCCTCCTCCTTCCCCCCTCCTCCTCCGCCTCCTCCTCCTCCTCCTCCTCCTCCTCCTCCTCCTCCTCCTCCTCCTCCTCCTCCCCCTCCTCCTCCTCCTCCTCCTCCTCCTCCTCCTCCTCCTCCTCCTCCTCCTCCTCCTCTCCTCCTTCTCCTACCCTCCTCCTCCTCCTCCTTTCCCCCTTTTCCTCCTCCTCCTCCTCCTCCTCCTCCCTCCTCCTCCTCCGCCTCCTCCTCCTCCCCCTCCTCCTCCTCCTCCTCCTCCTCCTCCTCCTCCTCCTCCTCCTCCTCCTCCTCCTCCTCCTACCTCGTCCTCGTCCTCCTCGTCTCCTCCTCTCCTCCTCCTCCTCCTCCTCCTCTCCTACTCTCCTGCTCCTCCTCCTCCTCCTCCGCCTCCCTCCCTCCTCCTCCTCCTCCTCCTGCCTCCTGCCTCCTCCTCCTCCTCGTCCTTCTGCTCCTCCTTCTTCTCCTTCTCCTCCTCCTTCTCCTCCTCTGTCAGCCCCTCACCACGTGAGAAATGAAACTGCTGAAAAACTCCTCCTCTGTCAGCCTCAGACTCAGCCATCCCGAAGCGTTCTCTTGGTGTGAGGGCTGTGGGAACCGGGCCTACAATTCCGGTGTCAGGCGCAACGTTCGGGGAACAAGCAATGACATAAACATAACAACTCGGAGGTCCGCGCGGATTTCTCGGATCGGCGCTGGACTTCGGTGCCTGGCGGTCGCCAGACGGCTCCTCGCGTTGAAACTACGGCCCTGGCGGTCTCCCTCGAAACCGCCCCTGGGCCGCTCCGCTTCGCAACGGGCCACGAGCCGCTGCGCGACGACTGGCTCAGCGGTCGGTATCTTGACTTGCTGCGTCTCGGACCGAATGCTGACTTCTGGGCCAGGGTCCGCCAGGCGTTTGTTCGTCGTGGGCAGTTCAATGTTTCAGCGGAGTGGCCCCGTCTCATCCCGAAGCTTCGGAGATCGCCGCTCTCCCCCAGAGGTTCATTGCCATGGGTAAAGAGTGCGCCGGTGTTATCGCTTCTCTTGCTGCCCAGGGAGCCTCCCAGGAATTCGTGATTGGCGACCCTCCTGACACTGATAGGAGAGATGCGGAATCGTCGCTGATCCCTTGGAGGGTGCGGGGAGCCCTGGTGGGGCGCGTCGGAGCCGATCCCTGGACCGCCGACAGAGCCGCGCCCGTCCTGGCCTTGCAGGGCCCTGCGTGCCCCCCCGCGCTCGTGGAGGAGAGCGGGGGCGAAGCATCTCTGTGCCAGCCGTAACTTGCTTGCGAATCCGGATTCGAGTTCCCAGGCTTGCGAAACCGTGTGTGTGTGTGGTGTGTGTGTGTGGTGTGTGTGTGGTGTGTGTGTGTGTGTGTAAGTGTGTGTGTGTGTGTGGTGTGTGGCTGTGTGTGTGGTGTGTGTGTGTGGTGTGTGTGTGTGTGGTGTGTGTGTGTGTCTGTGTGTGTGGTGTGTGTGTTTGTGTGTGCCCCAGGTTGGGGGCGAGGGAGTTTCGGCCTTCCTCGGGCCCCGAGTCTTGGCGGTTCGAGAGCTCCACGGGTCCCACTCGTCGCAGTCCTTGGGCCAGTTGTCCTTAGTTTTCTGTTCTCGTTGCCGCAAGACCGCGGCGACTGATCTCATGCATCTTTTGAGCGCGTGCCAAGTCACCCCGAATGGGCTCCGGAACCTGGCTACTATCTGGAAGGGCAAGTGCCCCACCTGCCGGGGCGGCCTCGGCACATGCGACACGCGGAGCTGTTCCGTCGTTTCCAAGCCTGAGCTCCAGGCTATGCGTCGGCAGTCCGTCTGGCGTTCGTCGTTTCTTCTCTCCGACCCATCCTAGCCTGAGCTCGTGGCCAGGCTATGCGGCGGCTGTCCGTCTTGCCTGATAGTGTTTTTGTTAAATAAGATTAGAAACATAAGAAACCGCGGGTTGGCCAGTTTCGCGCGCGTCCGTGTTCGTTGCGGTAAGACCGCGACGATTATCCCCAGGCATCTTTTGAGCGCATGCCAGGTCACCCTGGAGGAGCACCTGGCTTATAGAAGGAAAAGCGAGTGGCCCACCCGTCGGGGCCGCCTCGTCACATCCGAGACGCAGTGTCTCTTTCTGACGCCTCCAAGCCTGAGCTCGAGGCGAGGCCATGTGTCAGCAATCCGTTTTGCTTTCGTAGTATTTGACTCCCGCTGTCATTCATCCGTTATGCTCCAGTAGTTAGCCTTCTCATCATTCTCCTCCTCCTCCTCCTCCTCCTCGACGCCTTTGCCCGTATTCATCTCCTTCTCCTCCTTCTCCTCCTCCATCTCCTCCCCCTCCTCCTTCTCCTCCTCTTCATCATCGTCATCATCATTATCATCATCATCTTCTTTCTCCTCCGCATCCTCTTCATCCTCATTCTCTTCCTGCAGTCCGCTTCCTTATAAAGAATGTCTCCCTCTCGTACCTCGAAGCCAGTTTTGAGGGCGGGCGGGGCGTTTCGCCTGAAATGTCTTCACCATTTATGTTTCGGAAGCTTAAGCGGTGGGCAACAGCTTCTCAGATGGAGGGCGTGCCGTTTTCAATATGTGGTTGTCGCGTAGCGCCGCGCACATTCGTTTCAAGCATTTGCAAGAGCTTCACGTATTGAAAGCGAATCGTTTTCAAACTGGTTTTCGCATTAGCGCCGCACACAGTCGGCTTTGCAAAACAGCAAGAGCTTCACGGATTGAGGGCGGTTCCTCTCCTAAATGTGGTTGTCGCCTTAGCGCCGCGCGCATTGGTTAATGACCGGTGCAAGAGTTCTACGGATTCCCATGGTCAACGTACCAGAGACTGTGTTTTGGACGGGTTTAGGATTATATTGATTCGCGGTGTTGAAGTCCTAGGAATGGCTTTATGAGACCATTCAGGATCGTCAAGACGCAACAGTCAGGTTGATCCGTGGCGTCGACATCCCGAGAAGATTGTTTTGGCATGCTTCAGGGTCTTCAAACGGTTGCCTTCCAACGATGCAGTTCCCTCAATGGAAATGAACCGTTGTAGGGGCCTATGAAGAGGGAGGTTAGAGTGAGGGTTTATTCCAACATCGTTGGTGGCTCTTGTGTTTACACTGGTCTTCCGCATCCTCCTCCTTCTTGTCGTCTTTCTCTTTTTCCGCTCGACCAACCTAAGGTTACCCTGTGGCGGTTATTCCTTCTTCTCCTCCTTCTCCTCCTCCTTCTCCTCCTTCTTCTCCTCCTCCCCCTCCTCCCCCGTCCCGTTGCGCCCGAGCCCGAGGCGTCGGTTGCCTGACGCGCCCTTCACGGTGGCGGGCAATTCCTGCCCTGACCTCCAGAGTCAATGTCGATCCGATCGATCCGGCTCGATGGCGAGTCCCCCTGAGAACTTGACGTCTGAGGTGTGTCGAGCCAGGCGGCTTCGCATGATTTCGGACCCTGGGACCTTCACATATCGATGCGACTCGACAAAGGCAGCAGAAAGATCAGGTCCAGTGCTCCTGGCGCGATGTGTCACGGTGCTTCAATTTTTCGCGCCGTCGGATCTCAGGGTCGGCTGGCCAGATCGGATTCGATCCCAGTGCTCCAGCGTACTGATGCGGCCCGATGCAGGGCAGGGCGCCGCTGCGCATCCTGGCGCAGCTGGTTCGATTCGATTTTTCGACTCCGTGCCGACGCGGCCCGATCCGATGCACGTGTCGGTTCGACCCGATTCCCCGATCCGATGCTGACTAAGCCTGACATCTTCATACCGTGACAAAAAATCACGGCGGGCGGTGTATGGGCCGGGTTGGGCCTCCGGGGGCCCTCGCCCGGGGCCGTCAAGTTGAGCGAGCGCTGCTGTGCATCCTGGCGCAGCCGGTTCGATCTCGACTCCGTGCCGACGCGGCCCGATCCCATGCACGTTTCGGTTCGACCCGATTCCCCGATTCGATGCGGACTGATCGGGGGCCACGCGCGAGCCCTACCCCTGCACCCCACGACCTCTGAGGGTGAGGGTGAGGTTCCCCTCGCTCGGGAGCTCCCGAGCGGAGCGAAAACATGCCGCGGGGGCGCTCCGCGCGGGCTGGGCCGTTTTTGGGCAGTGCTCGGCCCCCAGGGGGGCCCTCGCCAGGCCTCGGGAGCGCCAGAAGATGACTCGGGACGAGGAGCCGGCCCCAGGGAAGTGGTGGGCCCACGCACCGACAAAGATTAGCCTGGCGAGAAACCCAACCATCTGCAGTAGTGAGTACCGCAGTTGTGGGTATCGTCTTCCGTGGGGCTCCCCCTGGGGCCACGAAACGTTGCACTGGGAGGGGAACCGCATGCGGACTGCGCCACTGGGACCTTCGGTGGAGCTCCCTATGGGGCCACGAAACATTGCACTGGGCGCAGGAACCGCATGTGGACTACGCCACTGGGACCTGCGGTGGAGCTCCCTATGGGGCCACGAAGCGCTGCACTGGGCGCAGGAACCGCATGCGGACTGCGCCGCTGGGGCCTGCGGTGGAGCTCCCTATGGGGCCACGAAGCGTGTGAGGGGTGTGCAAACGTAAGGAGGGTGACGGGAGGAGGGGGAGGAGGAGGAGGAGGAGAGGAGAGGAGGAGGAGGAGGAGGAGGAGGGAGGAGGAGGAGGAGGAGAGAGGAGGAGGAGGAGGAGGAGGAGAGAGAGAGGAGGAGAGGAGGAGGAGGAGGGAGGAGGAGGAGGAGGAGGAGAGGAGGAGGAGGAGGAGAGGAGGAGGAGGAGGAGGAGGGGGAGGAGGAGAGGAGCAGAGGAGCAGAGGAGCAGAGGAGCAGAGGAGCAGAGGAGGAGGAGGAGGAGGAGGAGGAGGAGGAGGAGGAGGAGGAGGAGGAGAGGGAGAGGAGGAAGGAAGGAGGACCTCGGGGCGCTGCCTCTTCAAAACTCAGGAGGGGAAAAAAACACACCGACACAATGAGTCGTCGACTCCCAGAAAACGGGGAAAATATGGGACGTGGGGGGGAAGACAAAACCGCAGAAAATATAGGAAAATATGGGGAATCCTGGTTTTTTGTGTGTATTTATTTGTGTGTCCCAGGGCCCCTTCAAAAACGAGGACCCAACACCACAGGATGGCTGGGACTTGACGCGGTCGGGTGTCCGGGTGCCTCCCGCCCACGAGAGGAGCCCGGCGGCGGCCTTGGCCGCTCGGACGTCCATCGAAGAAGGAACAACCGCACAACCATTAACTTCCTGCGATCCGCGCTGATTTCTTGGATCCGCACTGGACTCACCAACCACCAAGCCACCCCAACCCAACCCGAAGGCCTCAATCTGCCCTCCATTTCCAGGGGGAGGGGGGGGGGTCGGGAACATTGAAGCCACAAAACACATATGGAGCCCGTACCCCCCCCCAACCCGAAATTCGGGTCAAATTCGGGTCTTCGGGCTGGGTTGGGGTGGTTTGGTAGGTAGTCATGGACCCCCCTGGCGGCGCCTCCGGCGCCGCTTCTCGCACGCTCCGCGCGCCAGGAAGGGGGGTCCAGCGCAGATCCAAGAAACCCGCGCGGACCTCCAAAAGTTCATGTTTATGCAGTTGTTTGTTCTTCTATGCCAGCGCAGCGGCAGAGAAGTCGGGTTCTCGACGTACGGGCACTTGACCTACGAGGAGGCGCTGGAGCAGGAGCTCGAGGTCCCAGGTGTGTCATGTGCGCGTGAATGTCGTTTTGAGCATGGGTTGTTACCTTCCCCAGCCATTGACGTTCATTACTGGTTACTAGTGGTCGCTAATAGGCGCTAACAGGCGCGAGTAGGCAGTAGTAAACAATAATAGGCGCCAATAGGTGCCTATGAGCGCTACTAAGGACTGACTGGGGACATTGGTAGACACGTATAGGCGCTCGTAAGGCTGAACCTGTCTTCAAATCACTCTCACACCTAATGCACTTTAGGAGCCGGGCTTCTGCAAGTGGGTGGTGCGGGAGAGCCAGAAAGACGACGCCAGCGAGAGGTTGACGGACTTCGCCGAGTGGTTGCAGGAGCAGGGGGTCTCGCCGTTCAGTGACGGGCTCGTCGGGTTCTCGAAGCACGCGGACCTGACGTACGAGGAGGCGCTGGAGCAGGAGCCGGGCTTCTGCAAGTGGGTGCTGTGGGAGAGCCAGAAAGACGACGCCAGCGAGATCCTGATGGACTTCGCCGAGTGGTTGCAGAAGCAGGGGGTCTCGCCCATGAGGTCTGGGCTCGTCGGGTTCTCGAAGCACGCGGACCTGACGTACGAGGAGGCGCTGGAGCAGGAGCCGGGCTTCTGCAACTGGGTGCTGCGGGAGAGCCAGAAAGACAACGCCAGGGGGAGGTTGATGGACTTCGCCGAGTGGTTGCAGAAGCAGGGGGTCTCGCCCATGAGGTCTGGGCTCGTCGGGTTCTCGAAGCACGCGGTCCTGACGTACGAGGAGGCGCTGGAGCAGGAGCCGGGCTTCTGCAAGTGGGTGCTGCGGGAGAGCCAGAAAGACGGCGCCAGCGAGATCCTGATGGACTTCGCTGAGTGGTTGCAGAAGCAGGGGGTCTCGGGCCCATGAAGTCCAGCAGGAGCCGGGCTTCTGCAAGTGGGTGGTGCGGGAGAGCCAGAAAGACGACGCCAGCGAGAGGTTGACGGACTTCGCCGCGTGGTTGCAGAAGCGTGGCGTTGAGGCTGGGTACAGCTGAGCGGAGGGGCCCTCAGCCATTCTACGGAGGAAGGGGGGGTGGAGGAGAGGAGGAGGAGAAGGAGGAGGAGGAGGAGGAGGAAACGAAAGGAAAGGAAAGGAAAGGAAAGGAAAGGAAAGGAAAGGAAAGGAAAGGAATAGGAAGAGCAAAAGGAGGAGGAGGAGGAGGAAGGAGGAGGAAAGGTAAAGGAAATAGGAAGAGGAGGAGAAGGAGAAGGAGAAGAGAAGAGAAGGAGAAGGAGAAAGGAGGAGGAGGAGGAGGAGGAGGAGGAGGAGAAGAAGAAGCAGGAGGGGTGCGACGACTACGCCGAAGATACTACGCCGAAGATCCAGCAGATGCTGCAGGGTCCCCTGGGCCCGCCGCGGCGCGGCGGGCCCAGGGGACCCGCGGGCCGCGGGCCCTGGCGAGGCCATCCCAGACACCGCGCGTGCCACGGCGGGGGTGCGCGTGGGCTCCGCCCGCGAGTCCACGCTGCGGCCGGCACCTGTGGGGGAAAGAGTCATGTTCCCTCCTCCCTTCTCCTCCCCCATCCTCTCTCCTCCTCCCTCTCCTCCTTCTCCTCCTCCTCTCTCCTCCTCCTCTCCTCCTCCTCCTCCTCCTCCTCCCCTCCTCTCCTCCTCCTCCTCCTCCTCCTCTCCTCCTCCGCCTCCTCTCCTCCTCCTCCTCCTCCTCCTCCTCCTCCTCCGCCCTCCTCCCCTCCTCCCTCCTCCTCCTCTCCTCCTCCTCCCTCCTCCTCTCCCCCCTCCTCCCTCCTCCCTCCTCCCTCCCCCTCCTCCTCCTCCCTCTCTCCCTCCGCCCTCCTCCTCCTCCTCCTCTCCTCCTCCTCCCTCCCCCTCCTCCCTCCTCCCTCTCCCCCTCCCTCCTCCCTCCTCCTCCTCACTCCCTCCTCCCTCCTCCCTCCTCCCTCCTCCCTCCCCTCCTCCTCCTCCTCCTCCTCCTCCTCCTCCTCCTCCTCCTCCTCCTCCTCCTCCTCCTCCCTCCTCCTCTCCCTCCTCCTCCTCCTCCTCCTCCGCCTCCTCCTCCTCCTCCTCCTCCTCCTCCGCCCCTGTATGGCCATTCACGCTCCAGCGCGTGGCCTCCACATGTTCCACATGTGAATCCAGCCACGTACTGTCGGCGCCGATAGTAAGGATGAGCGACCTTCCAGGGTCACCCCGACATACTCCTACTATATGTGCGTCGCCCCCCCAGGGGCGGTGGGGCGGTGCGCGCACCGAGAAATCTTATGGTATGTGCGTCGTGGCGGGCGCTTTCTGGCCTCACCGCTCGGGAAGCGATGTACTACAAGACGGGTATACTATATGTTCGGCTTGGACGCGCGCCTCCCAGGAAGACGTAGTATTAGTGTGTCTCTGTGCGTCCCAAGTCACGGGAGCAGGAGTCGGGGACCCCCAAACGGTGTGGTGACCACACCGTGTGGTGAGTCGGTGGGGATTCGGGGTCACCGCACGGTTCTGGGACTCGGGTCGGTCTCCGAGGATGTCTCGGGTGACCGGGGCCTCCGAGGTCCCAAAACCGTGCGGTGACGGACCTTGCGGTGCGGCCTTTGCGGATTTCGAGGTCACCGCCGGGTCCGTCACCACACGGTTTGGGGGCCCTCAGAAGATGTTGAGGTGATGAGGTTCGGCCTGGACGCGCGCCTCCAAGGAAGACGCAGTATTCGTGTGTCTCTGTGCGCCCCAAGGCACGGGAGCAGGAGATGTTAAGGTAGTGATGCGTTCCCGAGGTGTTCGGGCGGTTCTCCCCGGATGCCCCAGGTTCCCCGCTGCTCCGCACGGGCTGCAGGATAAGCGAGGGCCGCTCGAGGCTTCGGAAAACTCTTGGACCGTGTCCTGAGCCGGTCGCATCACGACAGCAGCTCCCGTCCTGCACCATCACCCACGCGCAGAGGGGGTCGGGGGCCACGCGCGAACCCTACCCCTACCCCCCCCGATTTCTGAGGGGGAGGGTGGGGGTCACTTCGCTCGGGAGCTCCCGAACGAAGTGAACCCCACCCTCCCCCTCAGAAATCGTGGGGGGTAGGGGTAGGGTTCGCACGTGGCCCACTAGGGGGGCAGGGGGAGGGGGGAAGACTTCTCAGAAGCACCCCTGCTTCTTGGAAGGCGCGGGCCTTGTCTGCAGATGTAGGGCCGGCGCCTTCTAAGAAGCAGCCTCCTTCCAAGAAGCCTTCCCCCCTCCCCCCTACCTCCCCCTGCGCGCCGCCAGACGACGTCACTCCCGCCCCCCCTGACAGAAGCTCAGGGGGCAGAGCCCAGAGGAGGCCCCGCCGCGGCAGCGGCGGCCTTCCCCTGGCGCTCTTGTCGTCCTCCCCGGGCCTCCTGTGGAGGCCTCCCCGCCGCCACGGCTGGCTCCGCCCGGCAGGCCTCGAACCACAAGATCGGAGGTTCATAGACCTCCTGCCCCGACACGTCGAGTCAGGCATTGGCCGTTTGCGGCTCGCGAGAGGGCGTCGCGGCCGCCATCCTTGTGGGCCCCTCCGCCGACAGAGCACGGCGGGGGCGCTGCCGACGCGAAACGGGGCGGCGCCCAGGGCGGCGCCCCTCGGAGCCGAGGGGCGCCGCCTGGGTCGCGCGGCCGGCCTGCGGCGGGGCCCCCGTGCCTCGAGGAGGAGCAGCGCGCGGCCCAGGCGTAGACTTGTGGCTCTCCGCGCGGAGTTCTCGGATCGGCCCCGGGGCCCCCGTGGCGGCCCCTGGCGGCGCCGCCCACGGCGCGCTCCGCGCGGCAGAGAGGGGGGCCCAGCGCCGACCCGAGCAGTCCGCGGGGACCTCCGAAAGCTGCGGTTCGTGCCGTGTGTTTTTTGCCGTTTTTTGTTTGTTGCCCCTCTGGGAGCGGGTCAGGAGGATGGAGCCCGGAGGAGGTCCGGGAACCGATCTTGCAAGGATTTGGGCCAGGCGCGAGAGGCGCCGTTGTCTCTCAAGTGGCCCTCTGGCGGAGAATGGCCTCGTCTGCGAGGGGCCCACACCTCTCCCCTGGAGGGGAGGTGCGGCTGGAGCCAAACGCGAGGGGCGCCTTTGAACGCGGAGGCCGCGGGAAGCGAAGGAAGACCAGCCAGGACCCGGGTAGGTAGGTTTAGGCTGGCGTGCTCGGGGATCCCAGGGCCCCGCTATGATGCGCCTGACGTCGCTGGCGATTTTGAGCCGCCGATGCATTTTTCATTCTTCGCCCCAAGGAAGTTCTACCATTCCTGAGCCTACACTAGCGGGGGGGGTGGGGGGCGAAGCAGCTGCATGCGGCTGGTTCTCGCGTCAGCTGCATGCGGCTGGTTTTCGCGGCGCCCCTGGGCGCCGGGAGCGGGCATGCCTCGAAGAGCCGTGGGCGCCTCGAGGTGGTGACGTTCACGTGCGGAGGCGGGGGGGAGGAGAGGCAGACCGGTCAGCACGCGGAGAGGTGCAGGCTGGGGCCCTCGGGGGTGCCGGAGCCGTGGAGGCCTCAAGCTGGCGACCTTCGAGGGTGGCCTTCGAGACGCTCGGAGGTGAGCTTCGAGGGTGGCTCTCGCAGGAGGCGTCGCGAAGGCGACCTGCGAAGGGGACGAGGCCTCGGGGTGCGCCACGCCCAGGGCCATCGGATCCATGCGTCGGGGTCCCGCGGCTCCCTGGCCAGGGGCCTCTCGGGCCTCGGGCGCGTCGGGGAGGGCCTCGAGGGGTGCAGGGTCGGGGCCTCCAGCCCTCTCCCTCCCCAGCTCGACGTGCAAGCGAGATTAGGACGGGTTTCCTCCTTCCCCTCCTCCTCCTCCTCCTCCTCCTCCTCCTCCTCCTCCTCCTGCCTCCTCCTCCTCCTCCTCCTCCTCCTCCTCCTCCTCCTTCCTCCTCCTCCTCCTCCTCCTCCTCCTCCTCCTCCTCCTCCTCCTCCTCCTCCTCCTCCTCCTCCTCCTCCTCCTCCTCCTCCTCCTCCTCCTCCCCCTCCTCCTCGTCCTCCCTCTCATCCCCCACCACTCCGCTTCCTTCACAGACCACTTCTCCATGTCGCACCCGCATGGGTGTCAGCAGGGCGCGCCAGGCGTTTCGCCTGAGGCTTCCCCACTTGAAACATACAACAGCTTCAAGAATGGAGGGGGCTACTTTTCAAAATAGAGCTCTCGACATTTTGCGCCGCGCACATTCGTTTCAAAAGCTTGCATCACTTTCATGGATGGGCGGGGTCGTTTCCAGAACGGGGCTCTCGCCGGAGCCTTCGTCGGCAATCATGACGCGATGGTGAGCTGCATGGCCCAGCAAAGCGTTGGCAGCAAGTCTGGTGCAAGCGTGTGCGCAGCAGGACGGCAGGGAGCCCCGTGCCTCCCTGCCCGCAGCAGCAGGACGGCAGGCGGGCCCTGCGCCTCCCCACCCGCCGCCGCTTCCTGCCCGCAACCTTGGCTCAAGCGTCCGAGCGTGGAGGAGGAGAGCGCCCCCAGGCTTTGGCCCTCCGTCTGTGCTGTGGTACAGCAGGCGCCCCCCCTCGCCCCCCCTCTCACTCCTGCCCTCGTCGGGAGGCTTCTCTCCACCCTTTCCCTTCTCACATCTTCCCTGGTGAACCCCTCCCCCACGCCCAGCCGCGGTGAGGGGGAGCTGGGCAGGTGGCCGCGTCTGCACGACACCAAGGCCGAGCGCCAGCGAGCCCCCAGTCTTTCCCTCCCATTCGCTGTCGCCCCCGCGAGTTTCGCACTCGCGCAGGAGACGCATAAGCTTGCGAGGCAGTTTCACAGAGGGTCCTTGAGCAACACTGGGCATATCGCTCGGCACCTCGCTGGATTGTATGATCAGGACCTCTGGCCTTCGCGCATGGTAGCGGAGCCTGCGGTCTGAGTCCGCGGCTCCACCCAGGCAGCGGGCAGCCCCCGCGCCTGGGAAGCCCGCCTGGGCAGCGCTTCGCCCCGCGCCCGGTTGGGCCCCGCGACCTGCGGCAGCCCCGCGGCCTGCGGCAGCGCGTGCCCGGCAGGCGCGGCGGGCGCTGCGCCGGCGCTCGCGCTGCGCCGTGCCGGCGCGGCGGAGGCGCTGGCCCGGCGGCCGCAGGCCGCGGAGGAGCTCCAGCGGCAGCAGCAGGCCGCGGGCAGGCCGCGCAGCAGGGCCTGCAGTGCGGCGCATGGCCGAGCTCCGGCGGGCGGCGCCCCCCGCGGCGCCGCAGCGCGCGCCGGCGGAGCACCTCGGCGGCGCGAGCGCGGACCCGCGGAGGCTCGTGGAGCAGGCGAGCTTCTCTAGGGCCAGGGGCACGGGCCAATTCTGCTTCGCCCTCGAAGCGTTCGCCTGCGCGGCGCAGGCCCACATGGCGGAGCTCTTCCGCCGTGTCGCGGCGATGGGCGGCCAGGTCGTGGACGCTCACGATCCGGATGAACCCGCGTTCACCCTGTGCCCGCGCGAGTTCATGGCGGAGGTCTTCGACCAGTGCGGCTGCAAGGTGCTGGTGACCAACCGCCTGATCGTCTACTCGAGGCAGTGCGACCCCTTGGCCGGTCCTTGCGGCGACGACATCCTAGCCGATGCGGTGAGCGATGGCATTGACCACCTTGGCGCCATGATCAGCT